TGACGGAACCTCCCCGCCGTCGACGACCGCGAGGCCCTTGACGTGAGGCAGCGGTCGCGCATGGCGCGCGAGATGCTCGAATAGGGCTCGCTGCGTGAAGAAGACCGTCGCATCGCTCGGCTCCGTCGTGGCCTGGGCCTCGATACAGAAGACGCACCCATAGAGCGTCTCGTCGGCGCGCTTCGTGGCAATGTGGCTCTTTTGCAGGAACCGAATGCGATAGCCGATCCCCTGCGAGTGGTAGTTTGCCTCCTCTGCCAAATGTTCTTTAGTGCCATGCTGCTTGTCTGCTATTCCATGTGACGTACCCTTGTTTTTGACATCCTGTTCGACGTGCTGAAAGTCCGTCTCGTAAAAGCAATGGGAGCACCGCGCAATGATGTGCATCCCTGCAAAGCCCTGCAAAGGTCAGTCACATGTTATTTCGTCTTGAACGACATACGCACTGGCTTCTTTGTCTTCTTGATACCGATGCCTCCTCGCATGACATCCTTGGCTCCCTCGCAGAATCCCTTGTACAGGTAAAACGAGCTCGACAGTCCAATGCTGCAGTCCTGCTCCCGCCGCGGCGGGCTCGAGACGACGCCCACTTCTGTAGTCGCCGCATCCACCGGAATGAGTTCTGAATAACCACTCTGGTTCGTCGGCACGGCTTCAATGCCGTCGTGGATTCCAGGTGGGAAATTAGCCGGGATCGTCGGCGCACGCGAGAGGCTCTCCTCTGGCGCCTGCATCGACGTGATGGACGCGCGGTGATCCATCATGGCGGGCGAGGTGGTGTCGTCACGGCGGCCATCAAATACAGAGCTGTGTAGAGACTCCTGAGAGCGCTGCCGCGAGGGGTGCGAGTGATCGGAAGAATGGTTGCTGGTGTGGGAGTAGCGGTGGTAGACGTGGCTCGGGAGAATAGTGGCGCCGACAAAGGGGGGTGCCTCGGCGTCCTCGACGGCAGTCTCTTCCGGGATGGTTCCCGTAAAGGAGCGAGCGCGGCCTGAGAAGGAGGATCTCTCGGTGGCACATGTTGAATGCTCTGCTGTTGGGGCGGCAACGAGGTCGGGCGAGACGGTGAGGTGGCGGCGGTCGGTAGATTCTTGCATCATGTGGTCGACGCCGATATCGAGCCGCCGGGGCGTGTGAAAGGAGGATCTCCGGTCACGGTCGTTCTCGACAACAGCGGGTGAGGCGACAGGCGACATGTGTTCGACTGGAGAGTCAATGGCTGAGACAGGGCGGCGGCGCTCAACAACGACAACAGGCGAAAGCTCTTCGACAGCTCCCGTGGCGATGGGGGGTGGCATGCGTAGCGCCCAGGGGTTGGCGGCCGGCGGGGGCGGCGGTGGCACGCCCGGCTCTTCGACCTTGGGCTCAGGAGTGCTGGGCGCCGGCGCTGACAGTTCGTCAGGCAAAGGAGCTGGAGCTGGTGCCAAGATAGGCTGGGTCTCCATCGCCTGCCGTGGGCGTAGGCAGGCTGGGCTGGCGACCAGGCATCTGTGCCGTATATGTCGAAGCAGGAGACACAGGTTCAGGGGGGTCCTTGGCCGCCGGTTCGAGCCTCATGCGCATGAGTATCTCGCGAATGGCCAGACCAGCCTCCTTGCACAAGGCCTGCAGCTCGATAAACTTTGACCGGTCGTAGTCTGCGGCCGTAATGACATCGTCAAAGTCCCACAGTAACAGATCAAGGCGCGATCGGTAGCCTGCAATATCATCTATCGGGCACAGTGTCAGTCAGTCTCAGGGTCTAAGCTCGCAGACATGCCACGTAGATGACTGTTCATACTGTTATCCTTCAGAGCATCAATGAATGCAGCGCCGTGTCGGCCAGCATTCGATCGCACAGGGGCTCAATCGCCTTGAGATACGGTCCGCGCCCCGCGAGCTCTGTCCTCGTGAGCATGTCTTGTCATCGCGGCATCTCAACGCTGTGGCGCCTGACGACGATTTTCCCGAAAAGAGTTGTCCGCACCGAGGCCCGCGCCTAAGGGTCCCTTCTGGGTGGGGTTTTGGCCTCCGTTCGATGAAACTTTAAGGTTGGCCGGTTTGGGGTTCAGGAGGGGGAGGACCGAAGGCGCGGGGTGGGTGAAGGCAAAGGGCCGAGACGGGAGAAAATAGGCGGGAGGCCTCCCCTTTGGAGCGGCAGCAATTGCCCAACCGGGGTGGGGTAGTAGGAGGAAATGAGAAAAGGCGTGCGAGACCCGGTTCGTGTATGAAGGCTTTCCTTTTTATGTCGGTAGGAAAGAAGCGCCCAGGAACCCAAGGTCCGAGGTGAGGGGAACGAGCCCGTCGACAGATGGGGACCATCGAACCGTTAGAAAGAGCAACGGCGGCCAGCGCAACAGCAGCAGCAACAGCCCCATTTGACCGCCCGCCCGGTGGGGGCAGAGAGCTCCCAGGCAGCCTAACCTGAGCTTTCCAAGGTTGGCTGCTATGCGGTACGTACTGGCAACAGAGCCGTCTGGTTCGGTCCTTGGGCTGCTCCCGTTCGCGTCGGTGTCCTGCCTGGGCGCGTTGAGCGGCGGTCCTAGCTCGAGCCATACCTGGGAGGGGCTCGCCTGGCTCCTCTCTGCTTCAATGCAAGCTGTAAGCCTGCCAGGCCAAGGTAGGGCGGACAGAGAGAAGGGGGGGGGGGGTGTCAAGGACTCAAGGCTGGTTGGAGGAGGGGGTGGTGGGGAGGGGGCTGGACTAGGGAAGAATGGTGGCGGCCCGTCACCGACGAGGCTACATACTGGTATATGCGGGTGCTCGTGATCCTTTTGGCTATCAGGCCCCATCTCAGCGAACGCGGGAGCACAGCGTTCGGGTCCGAGGGCAGGGGTGGGCGGTGGACGATGGATGATGGGTGGTCGATGGTCGATAGTCGATAGACGACGATCAGCAGGTGAGCTGAGGTGGTACGAGCACGAAGGTAGACAGTCTACAGTCTTGACAGTCAAGCAGGGTGCTGGCTTGTCGTCTGGCGAAGGACTACTTAGTCCTACCTGCCTTGCTGCCTCGTTAGGTACCTGCCTTACTTACCTTTGTAGGTACCTGCGTTTCCTAGATACCTAGGTAGGTACCTTCGTAGGGACCTAGGTAGGGACCAAGGGACCTAGGTAAGCACGCACCCAGCAAAGAGACTCAGGTACCTCCAATTAAGGCACCCCTGGTAGGCCGCCCTCCAGGGCTGCGGAATGTCAACCATGTGGGGTCTGACAGAGTGTCTCTCACCGTGCATCGAGGGGTAGGATCAAGGCGAGGCCAGCCGGGGGGCCTGTCTAGGTGCCCACATGTACCTACCTAGCAGGGCGGGTGGTATTGAATAGGACATGATTGCCTTAAGGTACTTTGGGGGGGCAGCCGCCATGGCACCTCCAAACGGGGTACCTACAAGCAAGACGAACAGAAGGGGCGGCGCACACTCGAGAGGGAGAGTCGTACCTAGTGACACTGGCGAGAGATATGGACAGGGAGAGAGGCAGTGTGAGAGGACGGTCACGGTCTCAACCCTGCGCTGCCAATTGGCCCACGTCTCAAGCCACAAACAACCACGGAACCGCCTGGGTGTTCGCTGTGCGCCGTGGTGCCGCTGTGGTGCCCGCTGTTCAAGGGGCGCAGCAGAACGCCTCCTCATCGAGTCTGTGTGCCGTAGCCCGTCTCCGCCATGCGCAGTCTTACTCCGCGGCCTCGAGTCTGCCTCGTGCAGGTCACGAGCAGGAACGAACAGCGGTAGGGAAGGAAAAGAAAAAGAAGAATCCACGCGGAAGAAAAAAAATACGACGACCAACAAAATCCTCTGGGGCTTTGCTCAGGAAGGTTTTCTCCGCATCCATTATACATGCCGATTGGGGCGTCTCGGTGTGCGTTCCACAAAGATGGGTAGTCACTTGTACCAGATCAGAAAGCACACGACTATTTTCGTTTCCTGTCCAGGCTCCTCCGGTCCTTTCCCTGCGCTACAAAAATAGATACCATGAATAAACAACCAGAAGAAAACACTACGCATAACTCCGATGGGCGTCATTCGTGTCTCATCCTCGTCGACCTCGGCTTGCAAACGTGAACCCCCCCCCCCCCTTTTGAAGAAGTTCGTGCTCACCACATTCCCTTTCTCTGCTTCTGCAGTGTCTCAAACACCTGCGCCTGCCCACTCTTGGTCGTCTTGCTCGAACGCAAACCCGTCCCGCTCGCCGCGGGCACCTCTGTCGCGTTCTGCTCGGGTCAATCACTGCATCGTTGCCTTGCCTTGCAGCCCACCTCACGAGGAACCCACCTTGGAGATCAGAGACCGACCGATCTGGACCGTGTCGTCAATGCCTCGCTGGCGCTGCCAGAACCTGTTCGCCTGTCAGCACTGCCCGTCCTGGGTGCGTACAATATACTCACATCTCGTCTGAACCGCCACTTCCACGGACCGAAGCCCTGCGGGCCTCATCCTCCAGCGCCTCGCGCGTGATCTTGTCGCTCTTGGCGATGCCCGGGTTCACCGCCTTCTCTTCAACAGCCTGGTGCAGGTTCTCCTCGAGAAGTCTCTTCTTCATGAGATACCGCTCCTTGCGCTCCTTTTGCAGGCCGGCGCTCTCGAGTTTGGTCATGACGAAGCGGACGGCCATCTGCACGACGAGGTAAAAGTGTTCGGCGAGGAAGACGCTGAGGAGTACAGCCACAGCATTGATGTCGGATCGCGCGCCGGCTGGCCCGTCAGGGTTCTTGCCGCTGCACAGCGAGACGATGCCGGCGCTGGTCAGGGTGCCGAGCCACGACAGAAAACCAATAGCATCGAGCCACGGGCCGATCGAGTCGGCGCGCCACGGGATAGGACGCCTGCTGCTAATGGCAATCTTGACAGCGTCAGACCGCAGCTCGACCCAGTTGTTGATCAGGAAGCAGCACGCTGTCAGGGGCCAGGCCACGGAGAAGAGCGACAGGTAGCCGAACTGGATGACCATCTCGCGGTAATCATCCGTCACGTTATACGTGGGCAGAAGAACCTCGCTACGGACGCGTGCGAGGAAGTCAGCCTCCTCGGGAACATCGGGGACCTTGGGGCCGGCACTGCTGCTCGAAATCTTGGCCTGAACTTCTTTGGCCTCGTCGAGGACCTTGCGCTTGACGTAGGGGAGGACAGTCTCGGTCAAGAAATTGACGACCTGGGCCGTCACGGTGAAGTAGAACATCTGGTTGCTGATGCGGGCCGGGTTGATGACGAACTCCTGGGTGGAGAACTTGTCGCTGGGCGCGATCTTTTGGGCGGCGGCGCGCCAGAAGTCGAGGTATGGCAGGAGCAGGTTGCCAAAGGGTATGTAGATGAACGCCGTGAAGAACAGGGCCATGTACGACGTGAGGAAGTTCAGGACGAACTGCTTCTGGACGAGGGCGGCGTGATGGGCGTCGATCGTCTCGTAGTTTTCCATCTGTGTGAGGTGCTCGGCGAACTTCAGCAGAACAGTGCTAAAGGTAGGCGTCATAACGACGAGAATGACGGTGGGGAGGAAGGCCTGGCACGGGTCAGCCCTCGGGTCAGGGAGAAGGCGGAGGCTGGTGCGTGAGCGGATGCAAAAGACGTGAGAGACGTACCAGATATTGCTTGAATGGGCCGTTGTAGACCTCATTGATGAAGATCTCGAGCGAGTTGCACGTCACGATGAGGGTGCCGAGTACCAGAATGCAGGCGACGGCAAAGGGAATTTGCAGGAGCTGGGTCTGTAGGCGCTTGAAGGGCGAGTAGACCTTGACGGGCTCGCCCGTAACGGGGTCCTCGGCCTCGTGCTCAAACTCGAACTGCGGGCGCGGAGTCTGGATTTTGGAGACGCCGCGGACACCCCACTGCACGGCAAGATCGATTTCCTTCTTTTTCCAGAACTCGAAAAAGACGACAGACCACAGACAGCTCGCAAGGGCGGTAAAACCATGAGAACTGACCGAGCAGCAGCCAGGCAGAGAAGCCGGCGGCGCGGGAAGACGAGAAAGGTGAGGTAGGACTGGGTGAAGGCGAAGTAAAAGGCGACGTTCTCGCCAAAGGTGTTGCGGACGCCGTCGAGGTCGTCGTCGTCAATGGTGTACTTTGTGCTCATCTTCTGAATGAGCTTGCGGTTGAAGTCGTGGTTGTGCAAGGGAAAGAGGCCGGCGACGTGCTTCCAGGCGCCTGTGCCGGGCGTGATGCCGGCGCCGCCCTCGTTGCGGGGCTTCGTCATGAGGAGGTAGACGAGACGCAGACGCTCGGCCTCGGTCACGGGTTCGCTCTTGAGGGTGGCGGAGAGCTCCTGGTCGGGGCCGACGGTGCGGGCGCCATGAAGCCAGTCACCGAGGCGTGAGCGGTAGATCTGATCGCTCAAGACCTTGTCGGAGGCGATCTTGACGAAAATGAGCAGGGAGTCGGCGTCGCCGGGGCGCACCTCGGTGGTCAGACCGACGTTGACGAGGGCTTCGATGAGACGGACGTAAGCGGCCTCGGCCTCATGGGGATCGGTCTGGGGGATCTGGTAGTGGATGACATAGTCGACGTTGTAGTTTGACCCGTAGCCTGGTTGCAGACTCCGGCTGCTGTAGAGGTTCTGGAGGGAGGCCATCTCGTCGGTGGGCGGCAGAGTACCTAGGTAAGGTAGGTAGGGAGGGAGAGCAAGGACGAGAGGGGTAAGGGGCGCAGGTCGAGTGAGGCGAGAGGACGAAGTTTTTGAATGGTACAGCCCAGGGAGCGCGAAGCACGAAGCCGGCAATGTTTCGCAGCAGCAAAGAAAGGACCGGAAGCTTGGCAGCTCACAGCAAACTAATGACGAGGCAGCTTTGGTTGGCCAAGGTTGCGTGAGGCAAGGTAAGGTAGGTATCAAGCTTGCCGTCTGTTGGCAGATTTGGCTGGTGAAACGGGTCCGGGTTCTGGCTGCGTGTCAACGTCATTTCGGGAAACAAGCTCAGCTGGATGGCCCCTGCCGTGGATCGGTGGGTGGGGGCGATGATATGACGGCAAGCGGGGAGGGGGGTAGCTTCCATCCCCTGTTGCGCTGAGCTCCTGTTGCGGTGCCACACCTGTCAGGTCCACCTTGGCGGGGCGTCACGTCGCTGTCTTAGCTAAGCGTGGCTGGGCCCTGTCTCGGCAGGGAGCTTGGGCCCTCTTTCGTCACTTCTTCTTCACATGTGCCTGCCTGTCATAGGTACCAGATTGAGGCCCCTCAACACCAACTTAACCATCATCCCCTCGCTGTCGCGCCAACTCGTCGGTTTCCCCATCTGCGAGATACCATCCACAAGAAACTGTACCTACACGACTTCCTTGCAGCGAGAACAAGACACAGATGGCCATCCTCCAGAGGCTGGGCCTCCGCCGGCGCAGCAGATTCGACCCTCAAACGCCCCTCGATGCCTTCCTCGACTCACCACTGCAGACGCTCATCTCTGCCCTGTACGCCCTTCTGCTGATGCTCCGCGGCCGCCCGTACGCGCCGCCAACACACAATGGCATTCGCGTCGTCTGTCTCTCCGACACGCACGACCTCTTCCCCGCCGACCCTGTGCCCGAGGGCGACCTCCTCATCCACGCCGGCGACCTCTCGACCCCAGGCACGGCGGCGGCGCTGCAGGCGCAGATTGACTTTCTCGCGGCCCAGCCGCACACGCACAAGGTGCTCGTCGCCGGCAACCACGACGCCTACTTTGACCCGAACGCGCGCTCGCTCGCCGACCGTACCTTCCGCGCGCCCCTCGACCTCAAGGGCGTCCACTACCTCCAGCACGAGGCCCTGACGCTGACCTTTGCCGCCCGCGGCGGCCGTCGCCTGCGCCTCTACGGCGCCCCCGACATTCCGCGCTGCGGGCCCGCCGACTTTGCCTTCCAGTACGATGCCGCCGCGCCGCCCTGGCAGGGCGCCGTCCCCGCTGACACGGACATCCTCATCACCCACACGCCGCCCTTTGCCCACCGTGACCTGCGCCTCGGCTGTCCCGCGCTGCTGGCCGAGCTGTGGCGTGTGCGCCCGCGCCTGCACGTCTTCGGGCACGTGCACTTCGGACACGGCCGCGAGGCTGCCCACTACGACGGCGCGCAGGCGGCGTACGAGTCGCTCGTCGCGCGCAGGGGCGGGCCTGTGCGGGATCTGCTTCCAAGCGGCGCCTGGATCGATGCGCTCAAGGTCGCCGCCTACGGGCTGCACGCCGTCGTGTTCAAGGTCTTGATGCTCGGGCCTGGCGGCAACACGGGCGGCACGTGGCTTGTGAACGCGGGGCTCATGAAGGGGAACAGTGGCAAGCTCGGAAACCCGCCGCAGGTTATTGTGTTGTAGAGTGGCCGTTCGAACTGCTCGATTACTGAGCCGTGCATATTTCTACTATCTCTAATTGTACTTGTCAAATACAACGTGCACCAGAAGCGGGCATCTCTAGGCCATTCCTTGAGTGCCCAAGTTTTATATGATCGACAGCCGAGTGGCAGAGAACACAAATAGCGAATTGAATTAAAGGATGTAGCAAACAGGGCATCAGGATGCCTGTACGTGACCCATGCTTCACAGACATACCCCGCTTTCATTCATACACTGAGCTGGTGCCTGCTTAGATACCTCGGCGTTTGTATACCGCGTAAAATGTGTTGCCCGAATCAAATCTGGCTGTCTCGCATGGTCAGGCCCAGTCCTTGACCCAGCCTCAGACTTGCAGGCTTTCACACACCACACTTCCTCTCCCTCACGTGCC